TCTGAAATGAAACAGTGAATCATTGTTTTGTAGAGCTTTTCTGGGAAGGAAACTGAAGGTAGTATAGAGTAAAAATCATATGAGGGAAACTAACGTTTTTTCATGTATTGTCCATTCTTTGGTAGTTAACATGAGATTTTGAACCTTTGGTGGCTCAAAAGCCATTACTTTTTGATTTAATTTTGAGTATAAGTATCCTAACATGCCTTGAGAATATGAGCATCATGACTTTTGAGCCTGTAATTTAGTGCAGTTTGAGGGTTGTGAAAGCAAGGATTGAAATAGTTGCGTAAACTGTTTAAAAGTAATGTGCCTAATAACAAAATATTCCCTTTATTCAGTTATGAAGCTCCATATAGTGAGCCAAATACCACGAGTACAGAATAATGTGAAGGAAAAAATATCTTTGTGCCCTGTTTTTAAAAATTGAGGGTGGGGGGCAGGAGAAGTTACTAATTTACAGTTGTCTGTAGTTGAATAGGTCCTGGCAATTGTTTTGACCATAACCTTGGCAAAAGCAGCTGTATTTCTAACTACCATATAATGGCTCACTGGGGGCCTGCGAGGGGGCTGGGATGATGAACTGCAAGTTCTCCTTAGTTCCTTATTTTAAAAAGTGGCCAAAATAATCTTACTATTGGGAAAAAAAAAAATAAAAATCTTGGATACAATTTATTTCCTTTTAATATTAAATGCTGTTTCAGGTAATAGTTAAGTACATAGCATAAATAATGCCTTGAAACATTTTCTGTTCCCTTCTGGGTGTTTTTGAGCTTGGTTTCTATGGCAATGAAACCTATGCAGAGTGTCAGGCCTCTCCAAAAATAACTTCTAAATTTACCAGCATGTATAAGCCAAAATTAAACGGGAAAGGGGAGGCTCAAAGGTAGCTGGGTTCTTACTGTTTTCAAGCAAACTGATGATTCTTTAGAAGAGAAATGGTGCCCCGTGAAGACAAAATTAGTTACTACAAGACAAAATGATATAACCATTGCTGTCTACCCTGCTGGCATAGGGAGAACTTCCATCTTGTCAGGGTAAGTTCTGCTACAGTTGTTGGTTTCCATTATTTTATTTTGTTGTTTTTTCTACCCCAGTGGAGGCCCCTGAGAGGAGCTGAATTTACTGCCTTGAGGAGAGAGTAGGATACAGGACACTTGAATGAAAAATAACAAAAGCTAGTTTCTGTTCATGGAACAACATGTATTTATTATTGTAACTGTAAATAGTCAAGCTGCCTGACCCACTTCATGTGATTTATATGATGGAATATCTGTAAGGAGTTCTATGATTTTTCTTTAAATTGCTGCATCAGGATAATCTTGATGCCTTTCAGAATTTCTTGAATTTTTGAAAGGTCTTTATAATAGAAGACAGGATATATAGAAATACCTAGTCCCTGAATATGATTCCTACAAAATGAAGACCTTTTGAATGCTCTAAAGGGCATAATGATACTCTTTTGTATGGAGCCCTTGGGATGGAATTTTTCTGTTTCCTAATTGCAGTTGCTATAACAATAGAATGACTTGTTAACTAGGTCTTTGAAGGCAAGAAGTCTTGTAAGTATTTTTTCTTCTATCCTCATGTTACTGCCATTATTTGTAACTTACTGAATTACAGATAATGTTGAGAAAGGTAACTTTCAAGTAAGGATGTAGAAGACATAAAAATTAATTTGCTTACTAATGGCAAAGTGGTTTTTCAGCAGTAATATGCTCTTTGGCCAGTGAGCTGCTGTGGTTTTCCATGTATCATCAGGATAGTGACAGCACATACTATGGCTTGGTAGGAAAAATAAAAGTTGGCAGTGATTGAAGTGAAGGCCAAAAGGAGAGGAAGAATATAGGTAACAGACAGAAATCCACTAACGAGACTTTACTGCATCCCCTGCTCATAGACCAGGTTGTTGTGGTGGGGTAGTCAGAAGTACACACACATCCCAAGTGAAGGTGGGTATATCACCCATTAGTGTAAAAGTAAGACAGTAATACTCTGTTATTTGTCTCGTGGCTAATCAAATGACAAGTTTTATTTTTAAATGTTTAGGGTTTTATTTTAGCTATATCCATTGCAATACTAGAACTGTCTTGCAAATTAATTTACTTAATTTAGAACCATAACATTTCTAGCTCTCGGTCAAGCTGTTTTTCTGACCTGCTTGACGTTTTTAGAATCAAGTGTTTTTGTCTTCTCACTTGCCTTCTGTTTCCATAAATAGATGAGGTTATTTTGAAGAGGTTTTGTTTTCTTTGGCCTTAGCTACTTTAAATGGCTGTACATATTTCTTAGGTTGCTACTACTTTTGGATCCCTGCTTATCCATTTAGTGACCTGATTACTCAGTACCCAAAACCCCTCAATAATCCTATCAGTTACATTGAAGGGGATTTTCTGTAATAGTATGTACTCGTCTGTGTACTGTGCCTGTATATATATTTACATATGTGTGTGCACATTGATGTAGTTTATATGGATAAACCTTTTAATCTTTAAGCTATAGAATACAGTATTTGAAGGGACTAATTAAACATGTTGGAAAATGCTTTAGCAAGGAACATTGTCACTTCTAGTTTGACACATTTAAGGAATGTGGTAGTAGCCATATGAGAGTTGTGTGAAGTTGTTCTGTTACACAAATTTCTTTTGAACATTTTCTGTTTTCCGTTCAACTGTCTTTCAAATTTACCTGCAAACCATTGCAGTGTCTTCTGTACTGTTATCCTTAGTTTTCCATTAGAAAGAAAAGCATGGAATTTGTAACCTGCACAATTTGAACATAAGCCAGTGATGTGCCCTTGCTACAAAGAAGGCTACACAGCATCTTGGACTGCACTTGGCACTGGTTGAAAGAGGTGACCATTTCCCTCTGCTCAGCATTGGTGAGAGGCCATGGTGCTGTGACCAGGTTTGGACACCCCAGTATAGAAGGGACATGGACGTACTAGACTGGAGAGAGTCCAGTAAAGGGCCACCAAGATGATGAAGGAACTGGAGCATCTCTCTTATGAGCAAAGGTTGAGAGAGCTCGGTCGGTTCAGCCTGGGGAAGCAAAGGACCAGGAGGATCTCATCAGTTTATATAAATACTTGAAGGGAAGCTGCAAACAGGACAGAACCAAGCTCTTCTCAGTGGTGCTGGGAGGCAGTGGGCACACAATGAGGAGGTTCCCAAGTTCCTCTGAACATCAGGAAAAATAGTGTTGGTTTTAATTTGTTTGGTTTGGTTGGTTGTTTTTTGTTGTTTGTTTGTGGGGGTTTTTTTGTGTTGTTGTTGTGGGTTTTTTTTAATTGTTTGTTTTTCTGTTTCTTTTTCTTATGAGGGTGACTGAGCACTGGCACAGGTTGCCCAGGGGGGTTCTGGAGTCTCCTCCATTCTTGGAGATACTCAAAAGCCATCTGGACATGGTCCTGGGCAGCCAGCTCTATGTGGCCCTTGTTGAGCCAGGGTCTAGACTAGATGATCTCCAGAGGTCCTTTCCAACCTCAACCATTCTGTGAACGTTGATATACCCTTTGATAGAAAACAATGTTGATATTAATATTACCCTACTTAACAAATAATTTCACCTTCTTCTCAGAACACACTTTTTCCAATAATCTGATTGTACTTCACCTAATATGGAATTAATGTTGATGTATTCTTAATATTTTTGTTACTGAAATGCAAAGAATATTCTCCTGTAGGGTGTTCATAAAAGCTGCCAATTTGAAGTTACAGAATTCTTTTTTTTCAGATGTATTCAACTTACTTTATTGTCTGGGTTTTAAATACGGTACTTCCATAGCTGATGTCTAGGCATCTTTCTTGTAGTTTGCACTAGTGGGAACTAGCACTTTTCTGTTTCATGCTAGTACTCTTCTTCATGTTTGATTCATAGTCTGAACATTATCGAGTTAGCTAAAGTAATCAGAAATACCTCCAGCAAGTTTGCTGATGACACCAAACTGTGTGGTGGGGTCAACACGCAGGACAGAAGGGATGCCATCCAAGGGACCTTGACATTCTGGAGAAGTGGGCTTGTGCAAAAAGGACGTGAAGTTCAGCAAGGCCAAGTGCAGGGTCCTGCACCTGGGTCAGAGCAATCCCATGCACAAATAAATGGAGGATGGATCTCCACAAATGGGTGGAGAATGGATTGAAAACAGCCGTGAGGAGAAAGACTTGGAGGTGATGGTGGACAAGAAGCTCAACATAAGCTGGCAATGTGCACTTGCAGTCCAGAAAGCCAAACGTGTCCTAGGCTGCATCAAAAGAAGCATGGCCAGCGGGTTGAGGGAAGGGATTCTGCCCCTCTACTCTGCTCTCGTGAGACCCCACTTGGAGTACTGTGCCCATCTGGAGCCCCCAACATATGAAATACATGGAGCTCCTAGAGAGAGTCCAGAGGAGGGCCGCAAAGATGATCAGAGGGCTGGAGCACTTCTACTATGAGGACAGGCAGAGAGAGTTGAGGTTGTTCAGCCTGGAAAAGAGAAGGCTCTGGGGGGACCTTATAGATTCCTTCCAGTATCTGAAGGGACCTGCAGGAAAGCTGGAGAGGGACTTTTTACATGGGTATGTAGTGAGAGGATAAGGGACAATGGATTAAAACTGGAGAAAGGGAGATTTAGGTTAGACATTATGAAGAAATACTTTAGTGTGAGGGTGTTAAGGTGTTGGAACAGGTTGCCCAGGAAGGTTGTGGGTGTCTCCTCCCTGGTAGTATTCAAGGTTAGGTTGAATGGGGCTTTGAGCAGCCTTATCTAGTGGGAGGTGTCCCTTTTGATGCAAGGGGGTTGGATCTAGATGATCTTTAAGGTCCCTTCTAACTCAAACTGTTGTATGATTCTATGATTGTGTGATAGGAGTTGCTGGATCTGAATTCCACTGTTTTAATAGACATTCTTGCTTGTCCTAGTAGTTTTTTCTGTATATGCAAGTACTACATTTTTCTGTATATGCAAGTTGTCATGGAAAGTATTCCCTAAATGCACTTGAAATTTTTGTTTTTCTTCTAAGCTTCACAATGAGGATGACCCCCCAGAGTCTTCAGCAGCTGAGCAGCCTTCCACATCTACAGAGACTACACAGACTCCCCAGACAACAGCCTTATCTGAAGCAGATACTTCCCCTCCACCGTACTGTAGCATAGCTGTAGAAGCAGCTGCAACCTCAGGTATTTTTCTTACATAAGAGCTTATCAGGGAGGAGTGTGTGAATCAGCACTTGGTTCAACGTGGTACGGTGCCTGTGGTGGTGTTTTCTTCTTTCCCCCTACGCACGCAATTGCAGTAAAAAGCTATGCTTTTATGCACAGCCCTTTGTCTCTTTTTTTCAGAAGAAGCACACTTCTAAATTACACTGATTGTTCCAATTTGGGAGACTAAATGGATGTTCATTAATTAGTGTAATAGGTTTTATTTAAGTCTGCATGTAATTCAGCTCTGCATTTAATCTACATCTTTTGAGTAGTGCTCTGCTATTAGACCTCGTTAGCAATTATCATTGCCTCTTTATAAAAAAAAAAGAACAAAGCATTGATTTGTCAAAACTCACACTTCTTAAGTGTGTGCTATTGTTTGGCAAAAATACTGCCATGAAAAGATACTCTTTGCTTTTAAGGCTTTTGCAAAAACTTCTTGTGGAAAATGAGTAATGAGTGTGGTTTTCTCCATTTACTTATTTTCTCATGAGGTTGTGACTTTTCTTTGGGGTATGAGATTTAACAGCAGTCAACATCTAAGTCCTTGTTTAAGCAAAATTGCTTGAATTTGCATCTCCCAGGAAATGTTTTGGAAGTCTTCTCCAATACATATATATATATATATACACACACGTTGATTAAAGGAGCAATTTCCTGTCACTTTTCTTTGAGACAGGGTTTGGAAGTGTAATACATAGCTATGCAGAATTATTCCTATATATAATGTCTCTGTGGTGGTGTGCTGACAAATCTTTTTACCACGTGACCTGCGCCGACAAATCTTCACCATGTAAGCAATCTTTTTACAAGGTACTGCTGTCTGTAGGAGGAAGCTCAAGGTGTGTTTTAAATAATTTTTATCAATGTTGTTGATAATTATATTCTATATAACGATGCATTACTATTTCAATATATAAGAATGAAGTGTGTGGTCCATTGGTAAAACTGAAATATTGGAAAAACTGATTTTCATAGAACAACTGAGGTTAGCTGTGCTAATAAAAATACAGCGCGATTATCAGTGGAATTAAGTAACTAATTGTTGTTGATAATTAGCAGGGGTTTTTAGGATGGTTCTGTGCATGGCTTTTGTATGATTTGATAAAAAGCATTTGGTTGGAGAGCCTAGAGACGTAACTCAGTAAATAGAATTTTTTGTCTCCTTGCATTGTCTGGGTTAAGGTTTCTGCCTCAAGTAGCAACTAAAAGCACCATCAAGCTGTTCAGTATTTTGTTTTATAAAAATAAAGGGGGTTTTAGACTTAAAAGAACATGAAATACAAATACCAATTTTGGCCTCTGTTGAAAAAAATATACTTTAAATCTCAATAGTTATGTGCATGTGATGTTCAATATTGACTTCTTTCTGGCTTAAAAATGCATAACCTCTTTATTTTGAACAGAAACACACAATGAATTTTATCCTGTACCACCTCCATACAGCGTAGCTACCTCTCTTCCTACTTACGATGAAGCAGAGAAGGCCAAAGCTGCAGCAATGGCAGCTGCTGCAGCAGAAGTTGCCCAACGAGTAAGTGATAAAGTTCTGCTTTATTTCTGTTTTGTGAGACATGTTAGGCTGATCTCAGTATTTACAACAGTTGGGACTGCATTATGGCTTGCTTATTAAAATTATGATGGGATGGTGATTTCAATATTTTGGATGTTTATTGTTTGTGTAGATAGTATAATGTAGTTGTAAAGTACTATGAAAAGTGTATCATATTCACTCTTTTCTGAGGCATAGCTGATTTCTAAACAGCTTTAAAGCCAAATTTTGTCCTGGTCTAGTAGTTCATTCAGTATTTTGTAATCTTTTACTTACGTATCACTACTAATGTTACTTTGTAGAGTTATTGCTGATGTTTAGTGTTTCAGATGGTAAAAAAAAGTAATTAATGAAATAGACTTTCTTAGAGGAAAGAATTCCTACATTTTGGAAGGGGCAGAATCCCAAATAATGTAGATCTTTTTAAAAATGAAAAGTCCCTGTTCATTGCTCCATGAACAGCTTTAGTACTGGAGTTCAAAGAAATAATACTTAAACAAAAAAACCCACACCGTGAGTTACAGTAAACACTAGATTGCATATTAGGTACATATTCAGTGCTTATAATTTTGTAAGAATTAACTTTATTAAGAGCCGGAGTCTTCAAAAGGGAAGACTGATATCTGCAGTTATTGTTAAATGCTAGTTTTGTAAGGAAAAGTCTTCCTTTTTTTCCTTCCAAGATTTTGAATGTGGAAATTCTGCTGTTTATTAGTACTGACCACAGTATACTATACCCAAATCAGGCTTCCAGTGCTTTCACTAAAAATCTTTCAGATGCATTTAAAATCTTGCTGCCTGGAGTGTGCTTGTGACTGGAAGAAATCTGTGCTCACCCAATGGGAGGCTGTTCCTTCCTCGGGGGCTGTGCAGAAGTCACAGTGCACAATACACACTTGAAGGTATGCATAGCTAATGTTTAAGTGTATTTGTGTAACATCCCCAGTGAAGGTGAAGCAAATCTGCTTTACCAAGTGCAGCAGGGAACTAGGAACATTAGTGTGGTTGCTTGCCAAGTTTCTGCTATGAAGTTATGTTTTACAGTTGTAACCTTTTAACTGCTTTTACAGGAGCATGGATTCTATGTAGTCTATCCTTACTACCTGTTGTGTAAGCTGAAGTATTGGTCTGAATGAAACTCAATCTGAAATTACAGACCTTTAGACTTAGTTGGATCATTAGCAACTCAAATCTCAACTTTTAGGGTACCATTACCAGTTCTGTGGTGCCTCAGACAGGACATGTGCAACTCTCTTGCAAGATTCTTGTTGCTTTTAACTTTGTATGTCTAGAACTCTGTGGAATGGAAGTTTCAGCCATACAACATATTCCTTGACCTGAATTTCACAAGGAAAATCTCAGGCTAGGGTTTAGAAAAAATTCAAGAAAAATTTAAAGAAAAAAACTAAGGGGAAAAAAAAAAATAAAAAAATCTTCCGTGTCATCTTAAGCTTTTTTTTTTTTTTTTTGAGAACTCTAGTCCTGTGACTTGTTCAGGTCACTGTGTCCAGAAACATCCTTTGCCCTTCTTTAGAAGGTTTTGGCCAAATTACAAGTTTTTTAAAAATTAGTTTCTGCAGTTAATATGTACAGCTCACAGTGTAGTAAAAGTATGGAGTTTGTCTTGTCTGAACAAGTTTAGACTGCTAATAGCTCTGAAGGGGATGGGACAGCACGTGTGCTGTCACCAGAGAACATTCTCAAATGTTTTGTGCCAGAGTAGGACTATAGGACTAAAAGTAGATAGACCTTATGACTACACTTGACAGCTTCTGGTGAAAACACTGGAACTGAGAAATAAGAATTTCTGGTGTGCTCTGAAGTATTATTACTATTCTTGGCCTTTGGTTAGACAGGGAGGGGAAAGCCACTTGATTCAACTGCAAGGGTATCAGTGATAGGTGGAGGGAAGAAAGACAACAACTCTGAGCCTTTAAAGCTTATGTGTTGTAGGAAGAGAAGTGTGACTTTGGCCAAGGAGGTAACTGGCTCAAAGTGGACACAAGCAGGATCAGGAAGGATGGGTCTAAGTCAAAATGAGGAAAGGCAAGGATGAATGGAGAACAGTGATATACAGTGAGTACAGAGACATTTAAATGAGAAACAGGAAGGAGAAGGATAAACTGAGATTGGTGGAGAATGAAACCCAAGTGGGAACAAAATGTGGTACTGGGAAAGGAGCTGAAGCTGGTGTGTGAGAAAAGAGGAGTAGAGAGGGAGAAAGAATTCAGAGTTAAGAGGTAGGAGAGTAGAATATGGTGACAAAGCACTAAAAAATTTTGTGTAGTCTGCTTTTCCAAAACAGTAGACCTTGACATTGAAGAATTTGCACTAACACCAGAAGGATTTGAATTAAGAAAAATCAGTAGGAACCACACCATCATTTCCCCAACACAGAGACTGGCTAAAAGGTTGTAGACTTACAGCAGTACTAAGCTAGTATCAGAAGTCTACGTAGTGTACCTAAAAGCCACAATCCTAGTGCCTGCTAAGGATGTCAAGTTTGATAAAATTTCTGCTCAGATTGCTTATGTGTATTTTGTTTTTTTCTTTTTCTAAAGTACATGCATGCACACACACAAGCTATATTAAAGAAACGTTATTAAACTTGCAAAACTGAGATTTGGGGAAAAATCAGGCAATGCTAAAGTTGAGTTCCAGTTTTGTAGATTATATTAAAATTATGTGCCAACATAGTTTTAATTACTGCCGTTATAATTACTTTACCATGTGATACTGCCACAAAATCCCAGCCTTATTTAACACCTCTGATGGATTTACACTGAGGTGGACTAAGACTAGTAAAACTGTCTTAACCTGGGAGATGACTAGAATAAGAAAAAAGGTCATAGTGTGGTTAGAGTTGTGGTTTGCCATCTTGAGGGCAAGGATTTTGATCCTTTAGATCTGAATACCCATGGAAGAACAAGTAATTGACTTAAATTTTGCACTACTGGTATGTAGTTAATTGTTTTCTCTCTTTCATTGTCTTGGAGACCACAAGAGTGATAGTACTGTGGACAGTATCTGACTTGTGTATTACACACGTTGCAAACCATGCACAAACAATATCATATAGTTCTTTTCAGCTTTTATTTTCAGCCGTAGAAAATTGGTGCTCTTAGGAATGTGAACTCTGCTGTGGTCCATGCCTTTAGTTCCTTCCTTGTAAAATCAGGATACAATGTGAACAGTTGGAAAAGGTTTGTCCTTGTTACCTTGAGTGTTACATTAAGCTTACGATTGTTTCATAATGTAGTCCAAAGTGTGCATTAAGGAAGGCTACAAACATACTCATTGAGAAGAGAGGAAAATGGTATAAAAAGACATTCCGGTCACTAAATAAATTTCATCCTTTTTTTCCCCTCCAAATCTTAGAAAAGACATTAGTGTGACCGAAGACTTCATTGTAGGTCCTGCATCCACAGATTTTTATGAAAATCTAAACTTAAAATTGACTAAAACTTTCAGGAATTGTTTTTGCAGTCCTTTGTGTCGGTTTTCTAACAAGAATAGATTGTACATAAACACTTATTTCTTTCAAGTGCTTCCAGATAGCTCAATGTATCAAAGCAATCCTAGCAGCCCTATGTTATTAGTAGTAATAGAATTAGTTGTCCTGGCTTGTGATGTTTTCCTTTTCAAATGCTCAAGGTATATTAAAGGTTAAATTAAATGGGCAAAAATACTGCTAACAGTTAAATGACTTGTTTGTATGTTGCAATGAATGGCTTTTACTTAACGCTTTTCAGTTGCATTTGTCTTATGTTTTTCTGTTTTTACATGCTTAGCACGCCCAGTTTAGGGAATCTAGGAGTCTGTTTGATGAAATATTCCTCAGTCGTCCAGAGGTATGGTATAGTTCTATCTAGTTTAGCCTTTTAACTATGAATTTTCCTGCAGGCAAACAAATGCTTCTGGGGTTCATTGTACCTTTTCTGCCCCCACCATTAACTTATCCATATTGTATGCTGAAGTTGTCATTTATGGGTTTTGTTATGTAAATTGACCCTTTCTTCAGAACTTTTTATCTGTAAATCCACTGTATTGAGAAGAGCTCACTGTATTGAGAAGAGCTCAGCTTAGTTATCCAAGGAGTTCCTGAAAACTTGAGTTCTTTATTTGATTAAAGGTGGTTGTCTCACGATAGACCATGCTGGGTTTCAAATTGAAAAAAGCACTGGGAGATAAAAAAACAGCCCTCTTTTTGCTGAAGTTTCAGAGATATATTTGATTTCAATAGATGCAGCATTCCATTTTATGGCCTTTTGCTTAGACAAATTACTCTGTGTAACACACCATTTATGTTGATAATGTATTTTGCTGTTTAGCTGTTTATTTGGTCACAGGGACAGTAAGTTTTCCATTTACATAGATCTCAGCAAGTTCTCCATGATCCTTAATGTGGCTAAAATTGTCAAAACTCAATATGAGATACTGAAACAGCGTTGTGTGTTTTCTGGATTCATGTGTGGCATTATATGACATTCTTCTCACTAAAAAGGAAGAATATAAGTAAAAGATATAATTATTGATAAAAATATCAAAATCGAATAGAAGTATTATTATGAAATTATGTTTCATTACAAACATTAGCAGAGAGAACCATCATTCTGTATTGTCCTTTTTCACTCCTCAACGAATGGTGAGAAACAATTATATTTTCAAGAAAGATCGGGGCAGTTGACATGAACTAGATGAAAGGAGAGCACTCAAGTGGTGCAGCCAGTAAGAGTGGTGCTTGAGCAGTGGCAGATCAGCATCTTCCATCTGCATGGCTGATTGTAAAACCACATAATAATACTAAATGGTGTAGATACAGACTGAATGCAATTTAAACGCAGGAAACTATTTCTTAAAAATTCTGAAAATGTTTATGTTCAGGTTTCTGGAGGCAATGAATAGAACTTGATTTAATATAATTCTCTGTTTACATGCAGTGTGCTAAATTACAGTTTGTTCACACTTACTGTAACAATGCCTACTTGCAAATGTCTGCATTCATGTCCCTGGGTTAGACCTGTGTTTCTCACACATGTAATCCTTAGAGAAGCCTGTGCATATAAAGAAACCTGCTAAACTTGTTATTTTAGTTGAGCAAAATTTTCTTTTTCTGAAGCAGCATTTTGCAAAGAGCATAATTCACTAATTGGTTTGGAAATGTCAGTATGAAGCACAGTAGTTAGCAGGTTGTAAAAAAAAAAAAAGTCCAAAAAGTAATTTATACAGGGTTTTACAGGCCTTCTGAAATTAAAATTGAAAATAGTTTTTGTTGATCTGTCTTGAAAAAGGAACTTCTGTGGCATAATTTTCAGACATAAGCACATTTAAATGTAGCTCTTTATTAAACACCTTTTCAGCCCTTCCTTCCCTTTTCCCTCCTTCTCCCCGGTCTGTCTTGTAGCTGAAGCAAAGTTGAGCTAAATAAACTAGTGCTTTCATAGTCACTTAAGAGGACCAATTAGGGACATCTGAAATTACATAGAGTTGAATTGTAGCCCCTTAAGGTTGTAGTTCAGTTAGCTTTTTGCATTTTCCTTACTATTGTCTGTGTGAGTAGCAGAGTTTTTAAAATCATTTTAACTGATACACATTCCTGGTTAATTAATCTGAAATGAAATTGTGCAGCTGGAATTTCATGGCCATGTTATGAAGAGTAGAGCTGGCTGCTTTGAGTCAGTACAATCTGTTCTACCATAATTTTAACCGTAGTTGTTATACCCTGGTAAATTATTTTGCTGTGTTGACAAAGGTGAACAAGTCAATCACATGACAGGGGTTTAGATCACTGTGACCATTTAATGCCCTTTTAGTTGTGAATGTGTTATACAAAATAACATTTAGTACAGTGACAGCAGTAAGTTAAAATAAAAAGCAAATTATTTCAGTAGTAAGTGTTTGCTGTGGGTGAAACAGCAAAGTAAATCTCACTTGAACTGATCTCTCTTGATTTCGTATTTTTGATAGGTCATTTCTTATCTCAATTCTAATACATGATGATTAATTGGAGAAAAAATAGGAAAAGTGTTACTCATGCTTTTGTTACGCTTATGTCTAAACCATGCTACTGTTGCTACTGACAGCATTATTTAACTTGTATCATCCTGCATTGTTTTAATGTTATTCATTTAAGCATAAAAATTGTCTATTTAACTACTTTTCACTTTAGTGAAGGCTGCCATCATGAAAACTTTTGTTTCCCAGCCTACAGTAGCAGCAATGTTGTACTTGTGCACAGAGCTGCTTACGGAAGGTCTACCAAGTTCTGTTGAAAATAATGTACTGAGAAACAAAATAAACTCATGCTTTCAGTATCTTAAGATCATGCGTTTTGACACGATGGGAGAAATCTTTGGATTGTTTTGATTGACATCTGTTTACTTTCGTTTGATATAAGTACTGTGCTTTTTTGAGGTTAGAAGGCTTTTTAGACACTCGTGATGTGCTCGCGCCCTCTGGTGTCCCAGAATTTTGCTTTGCTTTGCATCTGTTTTGCAGTGGATTGTAAGGTAGTCAAATTACTTAGTGCAGTGCCAGTGCATGAGCAATTTATTTTAAGATACTAACCTTATTCTAAAACTTTATTAAATATTTTGGGAAGCAAAAACTTTTCTGGCAGGAAAAAAATGGAACATACTATGTAAGGACTTTTAAAAAAAATCAATAGCTTGGCTGAATATGAAGATAGTTACAGTAAAAAAAAGATATTTCTGTTGGTTTTCATTGTCAAAGTACTCACCTGAAATAACTTATAGTTTCATTTAAGATTAATAGGCAGTATGGACATATCTTCAATGGAAAATTTGGGCTCTGCAAATATAAGCAACAAATAAGACTTGTTTTATAAATATGCATTATTTTTCTATTAAAATTCCTTGATATGAACGTGTTGCAGAAATGTTGATTTTCTTCTAGCTTTAGAAACATAATTGATAATTTAATCCTACAGATAGTTACTCTAAAATAAACTTTTCACTAAATTATCACTAACCTGTAAATCCAGGAAGAAGAGTATCCACCACGGGATGATTTCAGTGATGCAGATCAGCTTAGAGTGGGCAATGATGGCATCTTCATGTTGGCATTTTTCAGTAAGTTATCTTGTATCCGAGACCTACTGAGGTGTATCTTAATTTTACCTTTTTTCTCTGGAATATAAAAGATAGCTGTGATAAACTGCATTAATGTACTGTAATGAATGGATTTTTTACCATGTACACAAACACTTCCTTTTCCAGATGTAGCAAATATGTTGAACTTTGTTTCTGTGGCATTTGTCACAGGTAAGGGGACAAAGCAAAGTCACAGTAAATGTTTTGAGGCATAGCAAAGCTGCAGTGCCACCTTTGAATTGGGAAACTCATCCTCAAGTTCGACTACCAACTGCAGTTAAAGACTGGATCACATAAATCTGACAATCGATTTTCAAGTAGAAAAAAAATCTGAGAGATCATGAGCCATATCAAAGTTGCTGATGTTAGCATAGTGTGTTAAATAGCTGTGGGTGGATTTTTGGAACAGATCCAACCATGCTCGTTTTCAGGTTGAACTAACTACTAGCATTTGAAAATGTCATATCTCCAGGTAACTACTGATTGCAACCATCCATGCTCTACCACTGCTTCACATACTGTGTGCGTGCCCTGTGCATGTTTTGTAACTCATGTACTGCTTTGAGCAGAGTGGGATTTAGCCACTATAAGTTACTTCTAGAAAGAAGCTGCTCTGTTTCGCCAGTTGTATATTTTTTTCCTAATTTCTGAGCATATTTTCCCTTTCCAAAATAAATGGTTTTGGCCACCTATTTAGAAGCTTGTTTTTTGAGGATGTAGCTGTTCATTTCAGCATTCATCAGGATGAAAGCTGTTTGATTATCCACTACAATATCCTTAGTCTTTTAACGTAGGTCTCATGTTCTCTTTCAAAGTATCTGTATTTAATTTCTTTACTTAACAGAACTGTCACAGAAGTTTTATCACATTGGTGCACGACCTACTAGGACAATGTGGTGTTTGTTTCCATCTTGGCATAAAAGTGTATGTGTCTACCTCACATAGCAAATATAGAGTAACATATATGCATATATAGAGTAAAAAAATGAGCTTTGCAGTCTGCCCTCTTTCTGTAGTTGGACCATAGAAAGGATTCAAGGGTGAGCATGACTTTTTTTTTTTTTTTTTTTTTCCTCCTTTTCT